ACCTGGGTGACAGCCAAAACTGCACAGCATTTCCTCTCACAGCAGTAATTGATTTTTTTTTTCTCCTCTCTTTCTAAAAAGGTACAGCATACACAGGTGGAAACCAGGTACCAGCCTGACACCAGCACTGGAAGAAGGGGCTCAGAAGCTTGCTCCAAATTGGAAACATCCCGAGAGCAACATTTCTTCTTCCCAGCTGCCAGAGGAGGATGTTTTTTCAATCAGGACTTGGACTTTCTTTCACCCCATCTCTGCCCCCAAAACCCCATCCCAAAAGCAGGGAGGGGGAAGGACTAATGAGCTGCTGATAGCCGGAGAGCAGATCGCAGAGGCTCCACTCCGTCTGCCCAGTGTTCAGACTACCTGTTCAGGACTACGAGATTGTACAGTAGTCTGCACATTGGTTAGGCTGTGCTGGGATACACCACACACTGCCAGTGCTGCACGGGGACATGCCTGGAGAGGGTGGGCTGCGGGCCAGCTGCATGCAAAGGTCACTCGTCCCTCCACCTGGGAGGTGATAACCCTTCGGAGCCATGCCTGATGATCACTTTTACCTGCCTGTTTCACCAGCCTGCTCACAACCCTCTTGCTCCTCCACCTCTCTCATCCCCTTCTTATTTCTTTCAGCTTCATGCACTTGTCCCATAGCTGTGTTCAGGATGGCTTCTCCCATGCTAAAACTCTGCCATACAATGCAGAAACAGAGGCGCAGGCCTGGCAGAGTCAAAACTGCGCTGTGCTTTGCTACCTGAGAAGGCAGGATCGAGCACAGAAAGGTGACTGGAGAAAGAGGATTTTGCATCATGAAGAATGCTGGTCATTAATATAAAGAAAAACCCACAAAGGGTTGAAAGTTGGAGGTTTGGATGCTCAAAGTTGTGTTTGCTTTGATGTTTGTCTGGAAAAGAAAGAAGAGAAACAGTGAGTAAAAGTGAGGACTGATTAAGACTGAGTAAGAGATTATCCATGAGAAAACATGCACTTGTGAAAAAGAGATGAGTGAATGAATGCACAGAGCTCCACAGAGGATGTAAAGAGGAGTAACGTGTCCCAGAGAGCACCTGAGAGCAGTGTGAAAGCAGGAGAGGAGGAACCTCGGAGCAGACCTGCTCCAATGGTCTTTAAACAAGCTGGATGCAAAAACCTGGCTGCAGCCAGACCCATCGCAGCAAGTTTCTGACAACTTGTGAGCATCAGAGTAAAGCCAAAAGGATTTCTATTAGCTGAGCTGGGCCTCGAGGCCACAGACTTTTGTGGGGGAGGGAGAGGTGGAGAACAGGGGGGACCACATGTATGTGTACAGTGGGGAAACAACCTCAGTATTGATCAATGTATTTATTTTTAAACTAGAACTGGGTACAAGGCATTAACAAGTACAGTACAAGCAGCTATCTGGTGACTGTCAGCAAGGTCACGTCTTCCCCAGGGACGGGAGAAAATAATTCATACTTCAAGCAAAAGAGAAGGCATAAAGACAGAAGGAGCCCAAGCACAACTGATGCAGCAAAAAAAAAATGAAGCACCCCCCAGCACCTGGAAGTACTTAAAACTCTGTGCTCACCCCCTCTGTACACACACAGGGCTCAAAGGCACTGACATGACATGCAACACACAAATACGGCCTTATTTGCTGATGTGAAAGTATTCTTCTCATGCAGTCACCTGTTCTTACAAGCCCCAGATTTGTAGTACGATTTACCTGAGTAGGGACAGAAGGTCCCATCTGTATTGTACATTCACACAAATTCCCAAAGGAAGCAGCAGATATATCCATCTACCCAGCTGCACAAACCCTCCAGCACACAGTGGCACAGTCGGAGACACTTCAGCGGAGCGGTCACCCTCACAGAGGAGGGCATGCAGGGGTTCCCTCCAGCAGGCAGTGAGCTTTACTGACAAGCCCTGAGCACAGGGCTCACTGCACCTTGCCTACAACATCCCCATCACCTGCAGCTCTAGCCCAGCTCACACCCCTTTTTTTCCAGTAGGTAGGAAAGCGCTGCTGAGACATGGGCACTGCATTTCACAAGGGATTCAAACAGGACTATTCAAATTGAGTTCTTGTTCTGTGTCCACTTCGGTGCCTGCTGAGCAGTTAACCAGTGTGCTGTGCTGCTGCTCCAGCCCTGGGGACACTGTGGCCTCCCTGAGCAAGGGTATCTTGGCTCTGTATTGCCATAGCCAGAGCAGGTTCCTCCTCACCTCTCCTGGCCTGGGGCATAACTCCACAGGGTTCAGGAGGTACAGGTACCTCAGGAGGGTCTCCAGGTCTTGGGAGGCCAGCCTTCTGTGGGACCGCTCTCCATGGGGCCAGTATTTGACTCATTGAAGGGAGACAGGAAGAAAAACAGAGAGCCCAGGAGCACACACACATGCTCTTGGCAGCAAGGAGGGGTGAGGAGCCAACTTTCCACCCCCGCCTGGCCTGCTCTTTCCTCCCCCTCCCATTCCCCTGCACACTCCTTCAGGCCCCTCCAGAGCATCAACAGCCATATATCCCTGCTCACAAGCAATGCCGGGCCCTTTAAGACATGCTAAGTTTCAGTTCCTTTCTTCAGAGGCAGAGGAAAAACAAGCCAGCACTGCGGAAAGACTGGTATTTCACTAATGGGGTCCAGATGTCTTCATTCCACAGGCTCTGGGTCCTGGCTTGCAAAACAGGGTAGGGACAGGCTGCGTCCCCACTCCTCCCAGCTCCAGAGGTGCTCCCCAGCCCTCACCCCACCGCGCACCTCCTCATCCTGCTCCTTCCCTCATCATCACCCACAGCTCTGCCCCCAGTACTTCCATCCACAGAAGGATTCAGTGCCGTCCCTGGTCCCTCTGGAAAGCTGCCAGAGCAGAGGGGAACTGGGACAAGAGAGCCCCACGGAAGTGTGGGGTGGGGCAGACCAAGCCTCCCCCTTACTCCCAGAGCTTAAGTGCAGAAAGATCATAGTGCACTGCCTTAAAAACACGTCAGGAGTTGTAGAGAAGACAGGTCTTCCTGAACTGGTGGAGAAGGAGCGCCCTGGGACAGACATGCCTGACAGAGGCCCGTGCACTACAGACAGCTCTTTGGGACGGAGCCAGCTCCACACAGGACTGAGATTTGGGATGGGGATCCCCATGCTCAAGGCTCTCCAAGCTGCCCCTCAAATCCACCAACTATTAGCCTGATTCGACTACGGAGTCCAGGTGGATGCTGCTTCCTTTCTCCCTTGCAGAGATCAAGGAGTTGAACTCAGGGAGGAAGCAAATAAAAACCTGCTTCCCTTTCCTCCTGCTCAGCTGAGGACAAAGGCTGCTTTCTCAGAGGCAGCTCAGACCTCATCAGCACTGGTTCTCCTGGGTTTAAAGGACCAAGGAGGGTAGGGAACTGTTTTCACTCGGCAGCTCTACCTCTTGCTATGCAGAGAGGAAACTCTGCAGACCCTCAGTTGCTACTGACCCCCACAGCTGCCCTCCCTCAAGAGGGAAGGCAGGTCCAATCCCCATCCCAGGCAACTGGAATCTATCAACAGTTTACACATCCCCACTGCAGCCCTCCCTCCCTCCCACTCCCCAGGGAAGGAGAGGGAGTTCTGATCCCCTCTGTAACACAGATGTAGCAGCTGGCTTTGATTAAACTCCTTGATGTTTATAACCACTCGACCTGCGTACGCAACCTAGAGGAAAGCAAAGCCTCCCAAAGCAGCTCCGAATACAAAGGGCAGGGGGCTTACAGCAGAGACACACTGATTCAGCACAAGACATTTCAATGCCTGGTTCTTTAATTAGGAAATTGCTGCCTGCTCATCCATAGCAGCACAGCAGCAGTCTCCATGCAGAAAGCGATATTTAGAGGCTGATTCATCATTGTATTTGTCATCATTTCCACCTGCCCAGAATGAAACAGGCCCACTGATACGAACGAGACAAGAAGCCAGGCCTAGCTGCAGCTCCCAGGCACAGTACTGCGTGCCTCAGACCACCTCAGGGACACACACCACAACGAGAGGCAAAGCAGTTGCTCTATTTGCCATCAGAAACCCCAATCAGCTCAGAACGCATGACTACATCATCCCAGGCATTTTTCAACTCCCAGCACATTGGGTGGGACTAACCTTTTCGATCGTGTCCTTACCAAAACCATCCAGCTATTCTTTCTCTTTTCAAAGTAATCCAAAAAGACAATTATCTACCTTTGTCTTGCACAGGAAGCAACACACTGTTGACAATGATAATTTCAGCTGGGACAATTCTGTCTGCTTATATTATTTCCCACTGAAGCATCACAGCACATTGCCAGAACTCCTAATATGCAAGATTTTCAAGCAACTCTACAGAGTAGGTCCATGTTCCTATCAGTGATATTCCTCACATCACTGTACTTCTGACCAGCAGTACTCTAACCATTCACAATTCCAACAGTTTTACAAATAATGTGTTAACTGGCATGTTCAATATAGAAAAGTTGAAAGAGCTGAAAAGCAGGAACATTTAACAACTGAATCCTGGTAAGGTTAAGTAATTTACTCAAAAGATGGAAAGAGCGAGCACCTGAGCCACAACTCCTGTTGCTATGCTCAGAAAGGAGAGCATAGCATTTTTTTTTTCTTGCAACTAGGAGAGATGCATGAAAACCTCTGCCATACTCCTTCCTTCAGGAAACTCATCATGGCTGCCCCATAAATACTAAGAAGTCCAAATCTTGCAACTAACACTTGATCACAGCTGCCACAGCAAGACAAATGAAGGTCAAATTCCTTCCAAGTGTCCGTCAACTTTCCACTCAGGCAGGGCTACAAGCGCAGATGTTACTCTTTGTGTGTCAAAAAAGCCACATTCCCATAAATTCAGAAATGCTCAGCAGCACTGAGACCACAAGGAAGGCGGCCCAAGGATGGCTTCAGCCTGTGTCCTTGTGTTACAACCTGCAGCCAGTACTCGGAAGGTACATCTGTGATACCTAGTGAACTGGAAGCCTTATCCTCATTAGATGCTCAAGACTGAAGTCGCAGAGTTGAGCTACTCACCTCGTCATCCTTGTACCAGGAGAGGTTCTCTGCTGTCAGGACAAACCAATACTCCTTGGAGCCACCCTTCATGATCCCGATGTTGTTGATGGTGAGCCAGCCCTTTCGGATGACCTAAGGGGTAGAAGCAGCAGGCATTAACAAGCTCCCTAAATCCTGGCCTGAGGCAACAGAGGAAAGATCAGAGGGTATCCCTACACACAGAGTAGTATGGAAAGACAAGGAACCCCGTGCTCTCTGCTGCTGCCAGAAGAGCCCCCCACTCAACTGGCCAGTGAAGGTCTTTGCCTCCAAAGGGCCAGGAACAGTATAAAAAGGACGCAGGAAGGAACCTGGCAGTGCTGTGCATTATACCCTCTGCCAAGGGGAAAGAGATGCAGGAAAAACTGCATCAAGAATGCCCCAGACAACGGCACAATCTATGAGCACCAGATCACAGCAACACACCCAGAAAAGGTCATGCCTAGAGAAAACCAGGACACCAGCACACCTTTTGTGGCACACTGTGCATGTGGAGTGCTTCACCCGGCTCGGGGTGGGGGGAACCAGTTCAAGAAATATGGGCAAGCAGCCCAGAGAGAATCGTGTTTAGTAAAAAGAAGACACTAAGTATAACTGAACAAAATGGTGCATCTGGAATTACTACCTTGGACTTTAGGAAAGCCAGGTATCTGAGTATTCATATTAATTTAGGGCAAAACAAGTTCCTTTAAGTTTAGTCCATACAGACAACAGGCTATTACTACTCTCTAGGGAACTCCCAATTTACCAAGTGCTGGTTTAGAGCCTCACACATGCAGTAATCAAATGCAAGTATGCATCAGCTTAAAAGCATTAGCTTTTCTATGTATTACTGCACTGTTAACACCCCAAAATACCTGCATGTGTGTACTTTGTTGTATGGATGTGCTTGCTGAGAACGACCTGGCACTAAAAAACCATGCGATTGCAGTGCATATTAGCATGTCACACTGCGACGCAGCCTACCAGAGGTGCATGATCCTTTTAACTGACAATTTACCCTATAAAGGTAAATATAAGAACACTGGATCTTCATCTCATGCCCACTGTTAAGCTCAAAACAGTCCTATTCTCTCTGTGGGCAGGAGGGGGCAGTGAAACAGAGCCACACATCCTCGGATTATTGCTTTTTATCTCCACCCACTCACAAGATGTACCAGCAGTTCTGATTTTTTTCCTCAGCATACTACCTTTTTGCCTCATTTCTGCTTCACCTGTGCCTAGAGCTGCCCTCCTCTCCCCAATCAGCAGCAGAGGGAATAATTTGTCTGAGCACTGTTCTTGCCTTCCCAGATGCAACATTAATGTTCATTAGCACACCCTGCTGAGTGGCCTTCTACTCACCAGGATCTCATCCTGCAAAGGGGAACCATAGCAACAGCAGCAGAGCAGAGAGCAGGAGAGGAGCAAAGAGAGGAGAGATTGTTACTAGGAAAGCTGGAGCAGGAGGAGAGAGGCTCAAAAATAAAATAAATTGGAAGCTGGTACCACATCTTTTACCCCTGGTGTTAAGAAAAGCAACCCCCATCCCAAAATAAAGTCTGCTCACAGGAAAGCCAAAGCGCTTTACAGGTAGATCCAGAGTCTACCCTTTCAGACTTGGGTTTTCTGTATGGTACACTGCAGAGGATGGGGTTCCCTACAGCTGCTGTGAGATCCCATGAAACGGAAGGTTGGCCAGCCCAACCTGCTGACCTACCTGTCTGCCAACAGTATGGAAACTGTCTGCGTGTTTATGTGCACAAAAGGTGGTCAAACATGTTATGAAGAGGATGGATCAGGAGTGAATTTCTTTAAGAAATTCAAAGCAAAAGCATTTGCTTCCATTCTCTATAAGACTGTTTGTAAGGCTTTGTTTCTACACAATGTTCTCGCCTAGACAGCCTTGCCATGTCCCCAGTAAGTCTGGGAGAAAGTGTCTTTAGTCCCTTTACAATTGTATGTACACTCCTCACAGTTCCTGAAGGAGTAAGGGAACTCCCTCCCCTCCACTGCTGTCTTCTCCCATGGATGTGTATATATGTATAGTATATACATACATGTGTATGTATATACTTATACATACCCAGTGCAACCATGGCTACAATCACCCTTTGTCTCCCTGTACAGAGGTTTAAGAATTTCCAGTGAAGTTTTTCAGAAGAGAGCCCATGAACTCTCTTGAAATCCCCTTCCAGAAACTAGCTGTCACTGATGGGAAAGACAACTAGAACAGACAATTTTGTGCTACAGCAGTTCAGACCGAGTGTTGTGTACCCCTCCCCTCAGAAGAGTTCACTCAGCTGCTGAAGGGGCTGAACAAACAGGGGTTTACACAACATTAATAGGGAGTTCTAGCAGAAAAGCAAGACCAGATCTTGATTATCAAGCATCCATTTCCCTCTGCAGCACTTTCCCTCTACTGCTGCTACATGCTCAGTTCTTCCTGAGCGCAGTGAGCCTAAAACACTTCCAGGTATAAACAGAATCTGAGTAGTAAAACACACTATGAGTACTGCTGCATCCATCCCAGCACTTGTCCACCTGGCAGCTTCCAGGTAGCAAACATGTCCTTGGAGCAGCGAAGGAGATGGAACTTGGCCTACCTGGTTGCCAGCTGCCTTCTTCTTGCTCATCTGGCTGCTCCTCTGCTGAGCACTGCAAACAACAGCAGAGACATTCAAAACCCCTCAGGCCCTTCTCCATCACCTGAATCCTGCTCCCATCGGATAGCTGCTACAGTGAGTTCACACCCCTCACGACTGCCTTCCAGGACGCGACAGCCCAATCTATTTCCATCAGCTCTCTCACCCTGCTCTCCTCATTTTCTCACTCCCACATCAAGCACACTTGAGTCGCTAACCCTCCATAGCTTCTGCTTCCCTCCCCGCACCAACACTACCCTAACTCCCCCTTCTACATGTGCCTGTTCTCCCCAGCCTTGCAGTACAGAGCCACTGAAAAACAAGCGATACTGAGAGCTGAACCATACTTTGGGACCACAGCATCTGCACCAGGGCCTTAGCATCCCACTTACTGGAGCAGCTATAGGACAGAGCCACACGCATGCAGAGAAGAGGAGGCAATAGGATGTGGGTGCTTACTTGGCAAAGCCAATGAAATCCTCATGGTTTGTGTTCATGTAAGCCAGCTCAATGTCTATTAGAAGCATCACCTGCCAAACAGAGGCACAGAGCGAGACAGACGTTAGTGACTGACACGGCTAAAAGTCAGGAGCAGAGCCCAGTTCATTGTTCATCTGATCAGCCCTCTGCAGCCAGGCATCCCTTACTTGGTTCAGGCCCCTCTCATCTAGATAGTCCCTTCAAAGGGGTCCCCCCACCCCACCCAATCTCCCCTCTCACACATTCCTGATCCCTTACCTGATCTTTGGTCCTGCCTTCTCTCTCACGGATGTGAGTAGTAACAATCCTCTCCATCTCCTCACGCAGATGAGGGTACTGGCTGAGCTGCAAGAGAGAGAAAACACGTGCACATGGGAAAGGGAGGTATGAAGGGGGGAAGCAACCCCCCACATATATGCATGCATACATACACCCTGCAATCAGATATTTTCAAGGGAAGTTCTAGAAAGCTGGACTTGCAGACAGATTTTTCCAAGTTCCTGGAGGTCTGCTGGGGGCAAACTTCATTCCCTCTTGCTTTGGGCTTCAGAGAAAAGCCCTTCTCACTCCTGCAGCAACCTTCCTGCCTCTCCTGAGACCTGCTCCAAACCCACCACGTTCTTCCTGCCGTGAGGCTCTTGACAAACCCCAGATATAAGTGCGCTACTCACTGCTTGTTGGGTTTTACCCACTAAAGTGAGCAATTTCTCTAGGTGCTCAGCGTCCCACTGTAGTAGGCTGAGTAGCTGAGTGGCCTGTTGCTACAACCTGCTAAATCCTATGGGAAGTCTCCCTGGGAAGTGAAGTGGATTTCAATCCCCATTTGCTGAGGCACTAAGAGAAAGCATCTGGCCCTCTCAAACATCTGTAAGGGGAGAGGATCTGACCAACCCAAGGGTACGTGTCTTCAAGAAACACCGTGCTCTGGGCACCCAGCTGCTGCTACCTGTGCTGGGGCAGGATTATGTAGCTGAGGTCTGTATTCACAACATCTATGTCACACTCTGCCATGTTACTGAGGAGGGAAACCTTTCCTGCTCAGAGAGAAAAGTAGGACTTCGCTAGCTGTGATTCAAAAGAAGAATATCTACAGAAATCACACGACAAACACTCCCAAAATCAGCACCCTTAAAGCCCTCTGGGTTTCACACAGCACTCACCTACTTGCCTAGATTTATAAACCTCTAGCGATTTCGACAGCAGGAACTGTATGCCTCTCACGTCAGGCCAAGCAGTCAAATAAAACTTATCCTCCAGACTCAGCACCTAGCCCTTTCTTCCCCATTTCACTTATCCCTTCTGAAATAATTTCCCCATTTTTCTAATTACCTCCAGTTTGATTGTAATGTCAAACAGCATTTCCTAATATCAGTCTTTTATATTGCCTAAAGGGGGTGTATATATATTAAAAAAAAAAAAATCTAATTTTCCTATGACCTGTACTGCATGTGTTTTGTTTCTCCCATTTACACGAGAGCTTCTTCAACTGATTTGGCTTTTTGTTCTGTACACATAAGCAGTTACAACATGCTAGAATGAACAGGCTCAAGCAGTGCAGCCTCACTACTGGAAGCCAGATCCCACACTAACAAGCAATATTTCTAACACAGAACTACAATTAGTCTCAAACCCTCTCAGCACCCTTGCAGTCGAGCAAGTCCCAATAGCCTGGAACTGAAATTGAGGACTAGATTTGTCACTGCCTGTTTTCAAATGTGTGGTTTGCTTTGAACGCCAATGACCCTACAGAGGCAGGAAAAAACAAGTGGAACTAGTGTTCCCCACCACCACCTTGTCTTGAAAGCACAAACTGGGTGTTCTCCATGATCTTTATGGTTCAGGCAGCTGGTTGCTTCAGGGACACGCAGGCAAAGCTTCCTGTTTCCTTTGGGGGGTTGGCAAAGGATAGATGGGCAAGTTATGTCAAACAGAAAAACAGGAAGTTGGAAAACCTCTAAGCAAGTCTCAGCTTCTTTGCTTCAAATTAAAAAAAAAGTCAAAAAAACCCCAAAACCTACCACACAAACCTTCCCCCACCCCACTCCCAACCAGTACAAATGCACACAAAATGCAAAACAAGTTGTGGTTTATTCAGAACCCAGGTCAATCAGCAACATTCATGTGCAAAAATAAATTGACAGCATCAGTCCCCATGCAAGAGCTCCCAACCCCAGGCATGCACGGGAGAAGCAAGGGCGGGTGAGGAAAGAGGACACAGACAAGCCACAGAATGTCACACCACCAGGGAACATGCAATAGGGCATAGAGGGGCAAGGAGTGATCACCAGCAGTACAAACAGCACCCAGAAATGCCATGACTGAAAGACAGGAGAGCAGGCGACCCTTCAAGGGGTTAAGTCTCTCAGCCTGGGATCACATCCCAGCTCAAGTGGGTTTTCAATTCTGTTTCAGCTGCATTTGCCTGTTTAATCAAAATACAAGCTTACAGCCCTCTTTGAAAACCAATTTGTCCCAGTGTTCCTTAGTTCCCCTCTTTGCACATTCCAGGAGTCCTTGCCAGCACACCAAAGATCAACCTCTACCGGAAGGGTTGCTGACTTGCAAGACCTTCCTGCACTGAAGATGCTGCAGTGCAGCCTGACACAGAGGGTTCCTGCTTTTGGAAAAACACGAGCTAGAGCATTACCCTCCTAAATGTAAGGGCTTATGTGCTTACACCAGCTTTCTGTTGATTTTGGAGCTACTTTCCACTTAACAGACTGGAAGAAGCCCAGAATCAGGCCAGTTAATGGTTACCTTCTCTTCAGCCCTCAACTTGGTCTAATAGTCAAGGGATAGTCAACGGCAAATCTCTCTTCATACAGGAAAACCGTACTTCTGTAGGCAACAGGTGTGTTTGCCGCCTTCTGTGTTCTTTCTTGTATGGTATTATTCCATCTATGCAGCTTTATCAACTGCACAAAGATTCCTTCACCATCAGGTGAAACAAAATAGTTGTGACAGCACACAAACAGTAACACACAATAGTTCAGGACAGCAGCAAACCAAGGCTACAGGACTGTTAAGCTAATTCAAGAGGTGTTAGCCCCAGCAGTTCTTCCTTTCAAGAAGCCTTGCAGGACTTCTAGTGAGTTTAAAGGTTTGGTTTTGTCATGCGAGGGGCAGCATCAGCCCAAAACACAGCAGGCTGGGTATTACCTTACAATTAGCACCAGTCCTAAAGTAGCCTTTTCCAGACGCCTCCCCTAATAGCAACATGCTCTTGTCCACATCAAGCAGTTAGGGCTATAACATGCAAGATAAATACTGCAAATTAACTAATGCCCCTGTGCTGTTGCTACCTTATGCCATCAGAACCCTCCTCAGGCTGGCTGCTATCCTAAAGTGGTCTATGGCAGTTACCTTCTACTTTTTCAGAAGGAGATACAGGCAAGATCAGCCTTCTCACTACATGTAGACATTTCACTTTAAGCATTACTAGTCTTCCTTTTATTTTCCACTACTGTTGCTACATTCAGGCAGTTACTCACATCTGCCTCCCTGGCCTCTCCAGCATTTATTGCAGCCATTCGCCTCCTACAACACCACTGCTACTGTCACCCTCCTTACAGGATTACCCTCGCCTGTATCACCCTGGAGCATCCTCACAGGGTCTTCCACTATATGACAGATTAAAATCCACAGAACAAGTGGGTATCCAGCCACTCTAATGAGATAGTCCAATAGAGAAAGCCGAATTCAACACTCTTGGGGTTTTCGTGATCCTTCTGCTTTCCCACCCAAAGCAAACATCTCCAGCCAGATGCAGAAAACACAGTGTAAGCAATCAAACCCATCAAAATAAAACACCCACAAGAGAAACAGGCTGGAAAGGAGTTACTCTGCCTCACCACATCAGCCCCCACAATCTGCCAACAGCAGGACTCCGCGAGGAATAGATTGGGCAGAGCTCAGGGCATGTCAACGATGTCTCCTCGGCAGAGGTGAGCTCTGTATGCCTGAGTACACCCAGACCATACTAGCTCAGCTCTTCCCTTCACCCTGAACTCTTATCAAGTTGGCAAGTCCGGCTGTAACTCTGGAAGGAGGGAATTCTAATTTTCAAATCTTAAAATAACCCATGCAACAACCCTTTCCAACTCCGTTTCCCAAGTATGCTTCTGTTGTGCCAGACTTGTTTCTGGCCCTTCACTGGCAAGTTTAACACCAACTGCCACATCTGCTTTTTTTTTTTTTTTTAAAGGAGACATGTGGTGCCACCTCCTGGAGGAAACCAGCCTGGGAAACAAACCCACTGGTGTCCCAGCCTCCCAGCAGTATTTGACACCATCCCTGTCACTCAGGGCTGTCTCATCTCCATCTGCTGCTGCCCTCCACTAGCCCAAGGCTCCAGCTCCTGTGGTTCACAGCATACACACTACCTCCCACTGCGCATGGGGTGAGAGATCAGCAGGAGAATGATGCAGAGGGTGTAATGCCTGCAAAAGCTTGTCCCCAAGCCTTTTGGGACAGTAATCTTCTGAATACCTCTTGAAGGACGTCTTGCACCTCAAACTTTTAATTGGCAGTCGTTTTATATGTGCTACTGCTCAACATAGCTCTGCAGACAAGAGAAATCTGCAGACCACTCATGGTGTGGGGATGTGAGGTCATCTTCAGGCTTTATCTTTTCCTAGGGTATCTGGATTTTTTTAAGGGAGTCCCAGAAAACACCTAAGAAATTCTAAATGTGCAGGCAGTGGCACAGCAAACAAAGCTTGCAAAGGGTTTGGTCCACACTGAGGTGAATGCCCCCGAGCCAGATAGAGGAAAAGGCTATGCCAGAGTAATCCACTGGATCCCAGCTCACTTCTCAGCTAAAGAGCTTATCAGCTGACGACCACTTCTCTTGCTCTGCTTTTCAACTGCTCTTACACCTGCAGGTTGCTGCTCTCATTCCGATGCATCTTTATATCCATTTTCTCTCACTAGGTTTGCTGGAGTTCCTGGGGTGTGTGTGGAGAAACAGCATGGAAGTGTGTGGGAAGGGGATGGGCATTGACCTTTCTTCGCATTATTTTGTTTCTTTACCTTTTCGCTACACTTTCTGATGGTGGATGTGAGCTCACTCACTACCATATCCACACACTTCAGACTCGGCTCCTTCAACTTCTGCACCTGCTTTTTCACTATGGCTTCAAAAGCGAGGTCAGGCGTGAAGAGACCCGTTCTGCATGGCGGGGGCAGGGTGGGAGGAAGCAACGAGGAAGAAGAAAGCAAAGCAGAGAGAGCAGGAAGGAGGAGGAAAGAGAAGGAAGGAAAAGGGAAAAGAGAGAAAACACAAGGCAAAATGAGAAGTGAGATTTTGGTTCATTCCATTAGTTTCTTGAACCAGGTGAGCATTGCTATGGGGCCTGTGCACTGCCAAGTATCAGGAGAGTCTACAGGCAAATGGAAGTGGCAAAGGGGAATGAGGTAGGAGCAGCTGGACCAGTGAAATGGTGAGCTGTCAAGAGCAAGACGAACGGGCAAAACCCCCAGGGATCAAGTGAGGTCTTCCTTAACAAAAGCTTCTTGGGATTTGAAGACAAAGCTGATGGCCATAGCAAGCCGCTGCCTCTCTTCCTAGAGACTGACCATGTCTCATTTCCCTTGGCCTCAGGCGTGCCCCTTTCCTTCCCACCACACTTATCTCCCCTTCGTGTTTTCCTTTTTCCAGCTGCAGGAAGCCTGAACAGGAGCCAAGCTAAGACTTGCCGAAGTCTGTCACTTGCACCTTGTTTGGCAGAACTGAACTGAATGGATGTGTCTCAGTTCCAAGGATTCAGACAAACTGCTCCACTTACGGAGCATATTACATCTCACTCGCCTTCCCTGCAACGTTAACGTCCTCAGTAAGAACAGATGCACCCAGTATTTAGGAAAACAAACATGCTACAGGGCATCCATAGCTATACAAAGCATCTGTTCTGCCTCATCTAACCTGCAGCATCAGATCCAGTACGGGCCTGTTGAGGTTTCTAAGGAAGTATTAATTCCCACTGACACCATCCAAGGGACCTGTATTCTCAGTGGCTCTGCTACGAAGCGGCCAAAAGTGCACAGCAACTGAAGTTATTAACATATGGCCAATACAAATCCAATTCAAGACTACTGCACCCCAACAAGTTTTTCAGCACATCTTTAACACTTTAGAGCTCCTGCCAGGATGCTCTGTTACACATTCTGCGTTATTTGTTTTAGCATGGGGCATTTTTACTTCGGAAGTACTTTCAGGGGGACAATGTCCCCTTGACATGGGAAGGGCATACTGTCTCTAAAGGTAGGGTACATAGTCAAACCTGGGGTGCCTGTATCTAACCACCAATCCAGGGCAAGCTATGGATTAACCACCACCTCAGTTAAATCAGATATTTCCCTCATCATCTCATCTTTATCTCTGTGGATAACACCTGCAAGACTCCAAGCAACACCAGTATCAGAACACTCACATTACAGGGCCTACAACTAGTCTGCCTTTTAAGCAGCAAAGAGTTGGAACATGTTACAGGATTCAGCATCCCCCAAGGGTGTCTCTCAAGGTGCCAACACTGCCCCTTTGAGCAAAACAAGGCCATTTCCAGAGTTCAGTTCACATCCTCTGACTCAGCAGCAGTTTCCTACTAATGCAGTTGCCCTAAGTTCAATATACACTGCTTCATCTACCACACTGGGGAGGGGGGCTGCACAAAAGATTATTTCCAAAAAATCGGTCCCTTCCAGTACCTGTGTATCACCTGAATGACAATACTTTGTTTCTTCAGATCCAAAACTGTCACCATGGCTACTAAAGCACACACAGAGCAACTCGCACTGAAGTCAACCATCAGATTCTTAGCACCAGGATCTAAGCTAAAATGGAATACTTTAATCCTGAATCTGTGACATCTCTCTCCATCCCTGCAGTCTCTCCTCCTTATTCCCCACCACCCGAACACTTGAGGAACCTGCTGCTGTCAGAACAGAGGGTCTATTCTGAAATTGTCAGTAAAAGGGGAAACAAAAAGAAACAATGAAGAACAGAGTGGAAGATGGAGGGAAGGATGCAAAGAGAAAGAACAAATGGGAGATTTTGAATAGCAACTGATGGATGAAGAACAAATCAAGAGAAGCTTCAGAGGGCATGAAAAAGGAGGGCCCTTCTGATCCAGTTAGCAGGCGACTCTGGATACTTGGCAGCCCGAGGGCCTGTGCTTACCTGTCGCCAGGCTCTAATGGCAATTTTCTGGGTGCTCCCCACAGTCACACACCCCAAGAGAGGACAGCAGGACAGAAAAAGGAAGCTCCTCCAGCACTCTAGAAACCTGAGCAATCTCCCACTGCATCCACTTTCCTTTCCCAGTCTGTCCTGGGGGACAAAGCATGTGCCTGCATGCCTAAGCCCTTCTACAGAGGCTCTTGGCCCTAAGGACTAGACATCTGCAGGCGATAGCAGGCATCACTACCTGGGCACCCTTCCCCACCCTCACAGACAGGGTGTCAGATTCTCCAGACACTTCCTGCAGTGCCCATTTACCTGCACCTGAATAGCCAGCAGCTATTCCAGTCACCAGTTCCCATACCACCACCCTAACTGAGGTGCCTTTTCACCAGCACCTAGCCCTGCCTGAAGTAGCAAGCCATGGCTGAGAGGAATGGCACAACTCTTATCTTGCTGCCTTTCAACCCCAACATCAGAAAAGCTGCCATATCCAAAGGGCAAAATTCAGGAAGGTTCCCTCCCTCAGCCCCCAATACCAGTGTGGTTCCCAAAAGGCAAAACCTGAAGCCCTCTCAGAGTAGGAGGACCACAGAGGTTGATGGACATAGCTAACTTGCTGCTCCTCAGCCATGTGCTGCTCTTCCAGAACAGGCTATGGACCAAGCCAACCAGAAACCAAGCCAAACACCATGGGAACATTTCTCTGTGATACAGCCCACACCAATAACTTCTGCAGCCTCTGACATTCAGCCCTACATACCTCCCAGCAACACTCAGAGGCTAGTTTGGGATTAACCCTCCCGTTTACACAGTAACGGAGGGGACAAAATTTAAATCCTGGTTTCTGGCTTAGAAAATAAACCCAGATACTAAATTTAAAATCAAATGTGGCCACATGAGAAATACCACTGGCTTTCAAAGGAATCAGGAATCACACTACAGAGGGATGTCAGGGATGTCTCCAGAACCCCTCAGCTCTAAACATTCAGGGAGCAGGGCCACGGCCCACATCCCACAGTGCTTCCCCTTCCTGTTTGGCTTGCTGGCTGGATGGTCCCAGGCTGGTACCGCTCAGGTCTAGTCATGCTGAGGAGGTGGTTAGAAACACCGAGTGTGGCTGCAGGCAAGTCCCTGCCCAGGTCACGATGCTGCGCCGCAGCCAGCGAGCGGGTGGAAGGTGCCAGCTCCATGCTGCCTCTGGTTACCTTCTTGGTGCACTGTCTAACGGTATTGATTAACTCCGAAATGACCATGTCCACGCATTTCAGGCAAGGTTCTTTAATCTTCTTCACCTGCTTTTTCACAATGGTCTCAAAGGCCATGTCGGGTGTGAAGAGACCGGTTCTAAACACCCAGGGTGGGGACAAGACAAGGCAGGAGGGGGAGAAGGGGCAAGGAGAATGTCACAGCGTTACACACACATCTTAGAGCAGGCACCGCCATCACTGAAACCCGGCACGCGGGGCAGGGGGTGCCACGTCCCCCCAGACAAGTCCTGACAGGAGTCCATAGGAAATGGGGGATGCTTGGCACCACTCAGGAAAGAGGTGCTGAGGGCAAAATGGATCCCAGCTGGACAGCCATGGCCAGGCCACCATTTCACCTCCATCACCAGGCCTAAGGGTAGCAGCGACTGACCCCTCTGCAGCATATTTGGCCTCAGAGCTGTGCAGCAGATGGGAGGTCTTTTCTGAAAGATTTTCTTAACGGGCAGGACACTAAACACATTTGATATCCTTTATCAAGCTCAGATAGCAACTGAGCAAAAGAAAGGAATGAAAATAAGGCTAGGTCAGTATTTGTTCATATCCAGAGTGGAGGAAGGGCTCTGACAAGCACCAGGTCCTGCTCACCTTCCCAGCAGCAGGGTCTCAGGCCTGTGCTTTCTGAAGGACAGCTTCCATTGAGGGAAAAAACATGTGTTTGCTACCTATGTCCTGGGAGCACAAGGATCCTGGTGATGGGCACCCCAATGCTCCTTTCTTTATGGGAGGAGGTGCTCAGAACCAACAACTGTTTTTAACAACTGTTGGTTAGTACGGAAGCAGAAAGTGAAACCCAACATTATAGTTTTAACTAAATGAAGAAACAGTATGGGCTTGCATCGCTCTTTCTATCCTTTGTTATGTCAAGACACACGGAGGAGGGAGAAAATGTCTCATCACCAAGGCAGTTTTACCTTTCAGGCTTCTGCAACTCTCACATAGGAAGAGAAAGCAAACTGACTTGGATAATTGTCCCTACTTCCAAAGTCAAGCCACTGGGATGGTCCAAGGAGGTTATCCCTCCCCTTTGACTGACCTACCGTACCTCTGAAGTCTTCAACTCCATTCAGAAGGTCTAGAGGTATTTACAAGGTTATGCAGCCAATGGTCTGCCTAGTGCATGATACGTGCCTGATACCATGGATGTTCTTGATGGCGTAGCTTATCTCCCGCCGCAGCTCCTTCTCATCAAACTCCATCTGCACCAAGAGAGAATTTTATCAGAAACTGTCTGGCACTTATTTGCACAACGCCAAGACACACATCAGCATGCTTTACAGAGAAGTCCCATGCCAGCACTATCACGTGACAGATGATTTCAGTCCAGTGTTGGATACAGAGCCCAGCCATAATGCTTCTATTGCCAACACAGGCATCCTGGACAAATATGAATAGCTAAGGGCCTACACTTACAGATGCCAAGCCCCAGCAGCTCCCAAGGAGCTTCTCTGAGATAAAGCTATAGGACTGAAGGGCTAGATTGCTTTCTAAAACAAACTGTTTTGTCTCCCAAGATTTCTCATGAGGTTTTGGCAGCTCTTTTTTCAGCTAACACCACAAATAAATTTACAGTTCACATACCAAAATCTATTATCCAATGCAAAGCAGGCTCTTCTATTTCGATAGAAAGGCCTCATTGTATTCAAATGCAAAAAAAGAAAGCAAAATGAAGAAATTCCAGGAGTGGAATGATTTGGCTCTCTAGTCTTTTTCAACTGACATTAAAAAAGTTCTTCTGTACCACTTCTGATCAGCTGGCAGGCTCTTCTATTTCACTAGAAGGGCCTCATTATATTCAAATGCCAAAAAAGGAACCAAAATGCAGAAAATCCAGGAGTGGAACGATTTGGCCCTATAGTCTTTTTCAACTGACATTTAAAAAAAATTCTTCTGTACCACTTCTGATCAGCTTAGTATACTTTGCCATCCAAGAAAACTGTACTCAGTGAAAATCCTCTTCAACTGTTATGACAGTAGAACAGTTTCTACACTGTTCCCATGTCTATGCCATTCATAAGGGACAGACAGAAATAATCCCAAGTATATCTGCTCCATCTTGCATATCTATCAGGGCAGCTTTAGTTCTAGTCTGGTGCTTGGGATCAAGGAAGTACACATAGTACAAATGGTGCTGGATCTTGAAATTCAGTCAAAGTAGCTTTGACACAACACATCTGCAAGGACATTCCACCACTGATTTACTATTGTTTGTGTAAAGTGAAGTTAATTTGCACATTTAGTTTAGCATTTAGGAGTTAAGCCAAAGAAACATTGTTATTTAACTAAGAGGAGAAAGTTAAGTTCTGTCACAAGGACAGGGACTGAGGGAAAGGTCAGTACTATGGGAAGGCCCCAATAAAGGAGGCAAAGTAAGCAAAAAAGGCAATGAAAGGAAAACCATGAAACAAAGTACTCAAAAGGGAAAGAAGGAGTAAGGATACAGACAGAAGATTTAACAGTCAACAGGCAATAAGACAAAGTGGGTCTCGGCAGCACAGGGAAGCAGTACCTTCACCAGCTCAAAGGGGAAACGCTCGTGGAAGATGCGATTAATCCTAGCTCCTCCTGACAGCTCATAAGTATCAATTTGGTCCCCAGAGCCTTCAATGCGTTTCTCAAAGTCCACAGCAAACTGCTGGACCATCCTGAAAGAAAACAAAAAGCATGAGGCAGAAGCCACATCTGAGCAGTCATCTCCAGGCAGAGACACGCAGCCGAGGCCACTTACTGGAGCAGAGCTTTGGTCTTGCGAGCTGGGTCATCAGGGCGAAAGTTCTTGTACTCCTCCACCTCCTTCTCAATGGAGAGGAGCTGACTTTGGAGCTTGTTCCGCAGCCCTGGCAGGGTGTCACGGATGTGGTTGGTCAATTGCTGCACCAGAACAACATTTATGATTAAATAAAATCCTCTAGGTGGTTACTGGGAAGAGTTTGCTACCTCCCCACCACAAAATAAAGAACACTCCTCTCTTCTGTGTTTAATCCTTCTGAGTGGTCCTAATAAAGTCTATCCCAGGACAGATACCAGTTATGAGCTGCATCTATCCTGCCTCCCCACCTCCTGTTCTTGACCTTCCTTTTACCTTCTAGTCTGGTACAAACCTCACATTCATGGAAACCTGCTGTCTCCAACCCAAGAAGCAGCTTCACATACAAGTATTAACATTTACTATTTACACCAGGGTAAAGGCTATTCAGTCTTCAGAGTAGCACAGCACTAACACCCAAACTGTTTGTTAAACCCTTCAATGATAAGGATAAGGCAAGGTGGGAGGAGCCAAAACCACTGATGAGGCTCTAAGAGGTTTTCCACAGAGCACAGCTGTGGAAGACTCCAGTTTAAAGACTTAAATAAGGATGAAACAGGACAAAGTAATTCTTCACTTAAGGGAATATTTTCAAGGGAGCAGAGAGGGAAGCAACATTAAGTTGCTACTGTATGTGACACGAAATAAGACAGCGTTAATAGATGGGAAAATGACGGCCAGTATCACGTTTAAATCGATCTTCGAATCTTTCAACCTAAAGGATTCTATGAAAAAGACATTTAAGCTCATCAAGTCCAACCAATCTTTGCAGCTTACTGTTGGGTATAAAGACCCAAGGTATCTTTTAGCTTAACCAGAAAGACCTTGCATTCTGACAGCGTAAATGCCATAAGCCAACTTGACTGTGCACCAGTGTCGCAGAGAGTATAAGGCAGCATCCCACCTTTGGTGGGTAAGCTTCATTATTGGCCTTAACATGTTTCACTGTGTCAGCATTACACAAGTCAGGCATGCTTCATAGGACTGGGCACCAAAATGCCTTTTATGATACAGGAGTAGAAGAGTTAACCAGCCTTCACAAGTCTCGCTGCAGCAAAACAATTTAAAGTATTTATTATACACGAGTCTTAGCTTTTCCTGTATTCTTCCACCTCAGAAGTACCCTGATGACCAACCTAGCCATTCTTATGAGATAGCAGGCAGCAGTTCTCAACTGCTGGCAGTACCTGGTTCAATACTTTCTGCAGGTAGGGGGTTCCCATGCGATCAGCCATGTGTCTGTAGGCTGGGTGGGAGAGAAAAAATTTTCTCTCTGCAGCCAGAGCTGCCTGAATATCCTTCTTGCCATCAATGTCCTTCTGACTTCTGTTGACTACACCAATGTAACCTGTAAGAGTGGGGTTAGAGATCAGATGGCTGCAAGGAGGAGAATGGGACTCAGACTGAGAAAGAAGTTACCCAACTGGCAGCACATTATTAGGAACCAACTGAAAGCTCAAAACTGGAATTTCCTCTGAATGGCCCAGGTTCTGATATTTTGGTATGCAGGAAAAGAGTGACTGTGCAACTGAGAATTGGCTCATTTATTACTGTTCCCCCAGTCACAAAGCATACCCCGGACTCATTCGTTTGACAGCCTTCTGTTAAAGTCCTTAGGACATACCTCGCTACAGCTACACACAGCATGTATCACAGCCCAGTATTATTTCTTCTGATATACTATGGCAAACCATAGGATAGTTCCATTTTTGCATCTTGCCTTACTACTTTGAAGGAAAGAGAAAGTAAAGGTAAGAGCATAAGGCTACGCTTCTGCTAAGACTATGCATCAAGGTACAAATACCTAAAGAGTTCTCTTATCAGTGTGACTGATCCCTGTTCCCCAGCCTTTACTCAGTTCCAGCTTGGAACAGAGATGGCTTAACCACAAGCTGAAACAGATGTTGCAGGAAGGGGATGCACTGGAGGAAGGGGATGTGGCCAGAACGCCTCACACAGGGAAAACAGAGGAAAGAGATCGTGGACAAAGCTAAGGAAACATACCTCTACGAAGAGGAAGTAATTTATTTTCTAATACATCTCGTGCATCAGTTCCTTCATCCATAAGATCCAGCTTAGTGATGACTCCAATAGTGCGTTGCCCTGCAGAGAAAACAACCCACAAAACACACCTGATCAAGCAAACATCTTGATTAATATTTTCTCTGCTCACAGAGTTTACAGATTTCCCAGCTTGGCTACTCAAGGGCTCTTGGACTCAAATGCTACAGTTCCCATCATGTTCAGGAGGCCACGAGAGCAAAAAGGACAATAATCAAGGTCAGTTCTTAGTTATATCCTGCTGGAACACGCACAGCCTATGATGCCGCAGCAGAGAGGGATTTTAGTGCAGATTTTCCTACTTTTCTGCAGGCAGAATGCAGGTGACTGAAGGAAAGGAAATCCTTCACCTCTTCAGAAATGGGGCTTGGACAGAGGAACAATGGGGAATAACAAAAATGCTAGTACAGTAACTCTTAACACTAACACCTCACAGAAGAATGTGTGTTGGTGAAGATACAACCCAAGACAACAGATAGAAGCCCACAGCCACTGAGCTAATCGCAACCACAAGGCAGAAGGGAAAGTCAGGCCACTGTCTAGTAACGTCATGCTAAATTAAGAGATGTTTACCTTGAGGATCCACCTCCTTCGCAATCTTCAGGGCATCAGAATTGGCCAAGTCTGAGTTGGCTGGTGATACTGCCAGGATGAGGCAATTCTCTTTGGTGACAAACTGCATGAGCATGTCTCGGATCTGAAACTCGATGTCAGGGGGCTGGTCCCCTACTGGGACTTTTGTCATACCCGGGAGATCCACCAAGGTCAGGTTCAGGACTAGACACGGGGAATGGGAGATAGCACAGGGGAGTGTTAAGGTAGGAATCTTCTGGTCTATAAGTACCACCTGTAGCTTTAGGGTCTCTGATACACGAGGCATAACATGCACACACACAAGCACACAGAGCTTTCTAGTTCTTTTGTTACTGCTTAGCAAGAACTAGTTGTCTTCTGGTACACAAGTACCACCTATAGCTTAAGAGCTTCTGATACACATGAGGTATAACAGATGCACACACACAAGCACACAGAGCTTTCTAGTTCTTTTGTTACTGCTTAGCAAGAACTAGTTGCTAGTTGTTACTAGCAGTGACTGTCAACAATCTCACCACCCTGCCCTTTAAACCACTTGTTTTAACACTGATCAGGGAAACTGCCCTCAAAGTCCTACATATGCTACACTGAAAGGAAAGGGATGACAATATGTTTTTTCATTTAATAACAAAGACTGGCAAGTCAGAAGAGTTGGTTCCACTCATTATGAGTTGCCCCCAGCACTGAAGAGCTCAGTCCTGCCACACTTACTCAGGAGAGACTCCTGTCAAAGTCAGCTGGGCCTTCTCCTGAAGGAGTACAACATGAGCCTTATAACTGTTAAGTCTTGCTGAGAGAAAAAAAAAAAAACACCCAAAACACTAAAAATCTAGTGCAAGTTCTGCCCAACCAAATGCTGTGTAGTACCGAGCTGCTGCTTTCCAAAAAATGCACATACAGCTGCTCACATTCAAGGAGCTGACAAATTTGGGACTATGTCACTCCCTTGTTTAAGTGGAATTCTTCCACTGAGATCAGGGACATATGACATAGGTACTACCTACACAAAGTAGGTATTTACATGCAAATAGAAGGCAAGTGCTCTTCAAGAAAGCCACTCTCTCCATCAATTTTTTTTTTGTTCCATTTATTTGCCTAGTAAAGCAGTATCAAAAAGCAAGGAGAGACAGCAGCTCTTCACTGTAGTGCTCATACTGGTGGAAAGGAACAGCCTCAGGAATGATTTTACGCACAGGCATCAGTTGTTTCATGGAGAAGTTCTGTTGGTAGTCAGACACTTCAGCTGGCAGACAAACCCATTTCAGCAATATAGGTAAGGCTGACAGTTTCATACAGCATTGCCCAGGCACACGGAGATTAAAGTCAGACCCAAGCACACTCCCTCTTTCATCTCTGTTCTTTGTCTTTACTTCATGACAAAGCAGCAGCCTGCCTCATCTGTCTCCTGACTCAGACACTACATTAGGGCTCACCGTGGGGAGAGTAGACGCGAAGATTGATGGGCACTGGGGAAATCCCTTTGTTGGAGCCAGTAACACGATCTGTTTCAGCCTCAATCTCCAGACGGACCTCCTCAAAATCAGTGAATTTCTTTCCTTTGCAGTGTAGGAACTCACCATATTCTATTTAAACAGAAGCAGAGAGTCAGAAATAGACACTGTAATCAGAGAAACTCTCAAAGTGTAATGAAAACACGTCCTGTAGCAAAATAAAACAAAAGAACAGTTGAAGGGATGAAGTCTGGCAAGGGCCTTTCCCACTAGCACCTGGCAGGTTGGCATAGAAGTCAGAGCAGTCACATTATCTGATCTACATCTTCCCAATCCAGCTTTGGTCTCATCAGAGGCAGCATCCTCACTTATCTTCATTCAAGTAACAATCCAGGATCTTCTCTGCTGACACTACGCAAATTTAGTGTGTACCTGCCTGCAGGGATTTCCACAGCTACACCAGGAGATACCCTGGTACTCAGGAGAACTTGAACTAGCTCTGTATTAAAGTGCTGAGGGTAAAAAAAGAGTCTCATTACATAACAAGAACAGACCTGAGAAAAAAAAAATCTTCTCTGGACATGGTTTTGAACCAGCTGGTGATAGGTGGGATTTTTGTGTCAGTCCTTGAATCGGCTAACCAACCCAAGAACTCTGTTTCAATTTTAAAAGCCTCCTAAAAGTCAAACTCTCTCCTTACTGCAGACTGCACTACCATGGATGGATCAAGTTCACCTGACAAGAGAGTAAGGGTACCTTGAAACATTCACCTGTCAGCTCCTGGGTGAGATCTTAACCTCTGTTAAGTGGAAATACCTGATGAAATACCCTGATGAAAATACCCTGCAAGTAAGTAGCAAAACCAAATGAGTGAACTGCCCAAGAGACCAGTCACAGAACTCCGTAGTCTTTCTTTTTAGATTGGAGTGTTCTCACAATGGGTTTTCAGTACATTAAATCATCTCACCCCCTTATTTCAGCAGATTATCAGCAGGGTCATGTGGTTTTTAGGTCCTACCCACTCACCAGAGTCACAGCTGCATAGGCAAAGGAAAATTGTGATGTGTATGCATGGAGCCTTGCCTAATAAATTAAAACAAGAAAATAAGAAGCATTTTGCTTCTGAACACTTAATGCATCAGATGTTAAAACAGGCAGAACTGAAACGCAGCTGCAGGTTATTTTTATTGGGGAAAATTCTAATTTATTCCCACACTAAGCACTGCCACTGGTCAAGTAAGACCTTCACAGAGATCCAGCTGGACACACAGGGAAGGCAGCTCACGTACCTGTGCTGGAGTTCACCAGCTGCAGGACCAGCGGGCGTCTGGTTACGATGCCAGATCCACGTGGCAGAAAGTCCCTGAAACGAAACAGGAAGTGTCAGATGAGTGAATGATTGCTTCCTTCCCTTTTCACAACATTTCTGCTCCTATAAGCATACATGGATTCTAACAGGGGGTCTCGGCCATGGGTACAAAGAAGTTTAAGGCGCTAAAAACCAGATGCTCCTCCTCAATGAGTATGAGAGGCAGTTGTGCTGAAGAAGCCTATACTCACAGCATGTTCCCTCTAATCCTGCCTGTAAGTTATAGCTCCTTCAGCTGAAGTTCCGAGCCAACTAACAAGCCCATTTAATACAGCTGTCTACTTGGAGGAAAAAAATAAAAAATCTTTCATCATTAAGTTGAAGCAGAGCCTGAAAACTAGCATGCCTCCTTTTGACAAAATACAAACCCAAACTACAACAAAATCACTCACACCCTGCACTCTGGGGCCTGAGAAGACACCACATGATACATCTGAAAGAATAAACAGCCAAAGGCTTGCCTCCACCCAAGGTTTCTCCTGGCTAACTACTCAAGACATGGGAATTGCCAAGGCAAAAGCAGCAGCAGCTTCTTTCTGTATTCACAGGAATCTGGAATTTTTTGTATTTCAAATCATTTCACAGGAAGGAAACCTTTCCCTATCCTTCTCCAAATGCTGACTTTGCAGCCACAGCTCACAAGTTCTCCTTTACTTTCTCTTTTTCCAAATCCAAGTGCTTTGAGCAAAGCTAGGTGTGCTCACCGCATCTGCCGATGACCCTGCTAGTTTGTGGTCTGTTTATCAGATACTCATCTGTTCACAGGGCTCAAGACCCACTGGGCATTTCTGAAAATATGATTGATTGATTGCTTCCTTGTCTAGCAGGAGAAGCATCACTTCAAAAACATGGTTCCTACAGCATGAACACAGTTTTCTTTGTTAAAACAAGTCCTACCTACATCGCTGGGATTCTGGCACACAATCTTCCCCCCTTCACAGCTGTGGCAGTGAGTAATTTTGCTGTTCCAGTAATGACTAACTGAGCTGGTGAATGAGAAATCCAGAGCTCTCCATTCCGAGCATCTTGCTCTCAGTCCTGCATAAGCTTAGCACTGACAAAGGAAGGGAAGAATGAGCTGTTTTAACACCACAGGCAAGGACTTGAGCAGTTTTGCTTCAGCTCCTGGTTTGGCCACTGATTTCCTACGTAATCCTGTGCAAGTTCTTCTACTCTGTATTTCCCTTTCCTCAGATATGAAAGGGATTCTCTCTTTATCTGTGGGGCTGTCAGAATAACTTAATACCAAAAACTGCAGAGTAGTTTCAAGTGAAGGGAGGGTAAGGAGCATCCTACATCTCTAACACCTCACAAACACATCTCCAGTAAATTATTGAGTCTGGAGTAATGGCACCTCTGGTACAACTCTACCAGTTAAAATAACACTGTAACCCACGGTCATAATTTCAAACTTTTCAAAAGTATAAAGGGTTAACTGGGGTTTGTCGTTCCGTTGTTTTACAGAAAATACAGGTCTAGTTTTTCCATTCTAGGGGGACTAACCCTGGAATCTTTGAGGCATTGCATCATTCTAGCAGCTTCCTGCTGTCTCAGCTCCATTCCTATGGATGCCTGTGGTCACTATGTGAAAAAGGTCCTACGCTGGCATCAGTTTTTAGCACAAACACTCAGATATTTTAGCATACCCATCTGAGTAGCTCTGACTTATTCTGAAGTTATTGTATGTGAGAAAAAGGTATCCTGTTACTATGGATTCCCTTTTTAGCTCACTGAGACAATAATCTAGTAGTTGATCACCAACGTGCACTATCAAATCCTGCTTTACTGTAGGAAAAGCACCACTTGCATTTACAAGCATGAACCGTCTATGAATGAAGGTGCTACTCATATTGCGCTCCATGTTTTCCTGAAGCTTTCTGCTTTGGCCAAAATCCTCATTTCGCTGCTGTCCTTTCACGGCTCTTAAGGCAAAAACTCAGGACAAGGGTCGATGGAAAACCTATGTGGCACCTGGTTTGCAGCACTACAAAAAAACATGATCCAATTTATCATGTTAACTGAAGTAGCTCCCAGGCTATTCCATGGAAAAACAGTAAGTCCTCAAAAAAGAGAGTATGACAAATCTATTAGCCAAATTTAGTCACCTAAACCAACAGGCTCGGTGCTCCTGTAGTTCTGAGTGAAAACATGTGCGATCTGATCCCCAATATCAGAAAATGAATGTGTGTTCTTATCTACAAGCTATTGGCTGGTACGTGCAATTCAACTTCAAGTTTTCTCTATGCGTGACTCCTATTAGAGATGTCACCAACAGAGCAGTATTGTATAAACCCCTCCAGTGATGCAGTATCACCTCAATGTACCCATATTATTTCCTATTCTTCACTTCCTTTCTCTCTACGGCCTCTTGGACAAACTCCTTCCTTCTCCCGCTCCAGCTAAGCCTTTCAAATCATAGACACTATAAAGTACGGATTAGTAGATTCTGCAGCAAGCTGGCTGGGAGCCAAGGAGAAGGCCGCACATGGGAGCCTTGCCTGCCCTCTTGCAGGAGGCATAATAAATTGCTTCTGTAAATAAACTACAACAGAGCATGTGTGGCACAAAGAACATGCCCAGCATGGCCTGAACCCACTTGGGAGCCAGGGGAGAGATCTACACACCCCCCTATTGCTCCAGAAAAAACAGCACAGAGTGATGAAATGAAGTCAGAATCAGGGAAACAAATGTGGGATAAGAACAGCCACACGCCAGACCACTTGGTCAGGCAAGAGCAGAACAGGTAGATAAACTGGCTTATGCAGTTCCAGCACAGGAGATGTGTGGTAGCAAGGCTGGGGGAGGAAACAAGGATGGAACAAGTCTTCAGAGATAACATGATATAAGGCTGTGAGTGCGGAATGAGGGCAGCAGGGATTGCAGCTCTGAGACAAGGCAGCCTCTAGCAGGACATCAGACGCAGGCTCCCTACATACATTTCCATACAGGAGTTGGTACCCAAAATACATTACTCAATTAGGTTGAGGGCGCCAACCCCGTTTTCCTCCTCTACTTCGTATCTTAAAGTCTGAGAATTACGGGTTTTGTTGCTTTGTTTGGAACATGCAGAAGTGGCATGACAACACTTGATTTCCTATGCTTTTAGGCAAGAGTACCACACTATGCCACTTCCTCAGGCTAAGTTTCATCCAGAAAACACAGCAAAGCAGCAGCTAAAACAGACAGAGAAGCTGTATTGAGGGAATGTAAATACTTAATTTGCTTGTGTATATTTCTTTTTTGCATAGTTATTGACTCAAAATTCCCCATCATAAATAATGGAAAACACGTTTGCTCTATAAACAAGTTTCAGAATTCCTTTAATGAATTGCACAGCACAGTGGATCAGAAGGTAAAATGGACCAAGGGCATTTCCCCTTAAGACACTGGAGATGGACAAACTGCTCATGTAATTCAACTTATATTGTATGGAAAGGGAAGAAAACATTGATGGATGCAGTCAAAAAAAGGTAAGAGACACCCAGATGAATGGTTTGGGACTTCCTGAAGAGGCACACATTGAAGCTTTCACACAAGTTTGTGTTTATTGACTGCTACTACATTGAATGGAAGGTGGCTGTCCCCATTAGAAGACTTGCACAAGCCGGTTTGCTGCAGTAGGGCCACATCCGTTCCTAAAGAACACACACCATTTTGCTAGTCAAAGAAATACTTGTCTACTCCTTTGGTCAAACACTTGATCTGATGTTTCATGTTAGGAGCTAGATTCTTTGGGTTAGGAACTAGTCCTCCAGCATCTCAGCTATCATGGGCATATTGCACCTGGGTCACCTGCTTTGCTAGAAGAAATGCTCTCAAACCTGATAAACCCAAGAGAAAAGTGATAGCATGAGCAAGTCTGTCCCTTTGTGCTTTAATAAAAGTTGTTAGCTCACTGGTTTAGGTTTGTGCATGAAGGCTTAGAGAGTCACCATAACAGTTACGGTGGCATTTAATTCCAGCAACACAGCACTGGCAGGTCACCTGCCCGTGATCCTGCAGCCATGACATTCAGTAGTGGCAACCATAAATCCCTAACAGGGAAGGAAGGGAAAATAGTAATGGCATCCCTACATATCAGCTGGGCCTGCAACTGCTGATCCATAGGTCCTCTTCCACTGCAAGCAAGAGCTTTGTATATTCCCTCCATCAAATTCAAGTGGAAAAGCACCTCTGCTGGCCATCTCCTTTGCTTTGCATATAGACACTGGGGTTTTTTTTGCAGCTCATTGCTTTAGTAAGAGCCCCCACGGTTTGCGAAGAGACCACTACATAGTACTGACCATGAAATTTAATTTCAGCTATTAACACACCCATGAGGGGAGACCGTGTTAATGCATATCTTCAGAGACCCAACAAGACCACTTTGTGCTTAAATGTTCTAGAATCTTTAACATGGCCAGACAAGAAAACTCACTGCAATCCTTTATGTGGCACTACAAATGCCTTTTTTACAAGCCCAGTTCTCAACCCAGAAAGAACTCAATTTCAGAGCAGAAAGACACATAGAAAATACGCACAGAGGGAAACTCAAAGAACATCTGTCAGTTCACAGGACAGGCAGCCGGGCTCCTGGACTATAAAGGCAATTTTGCCCCTGGTTTGTTGAGCCTCACAAGCTAGTTGTTCCTTGCACCGCAGAGTTAAAGCGGTTTTGCACCTTCTCCATCCACTGGTGGTGTGTATTTCTGAAAGGACTTTGAGTCAAAGCATTTTTGTGCACGATTTTAATCACTGAAGTTGCAAATACCACCAGCAGTCAACAACAGAACCGAGTCCATGGTGCAGTCTCTCACTCTAAACGGAAGACAGAGCAAGTGCTTCTACCACTGCTTCCTTCCCCTCCCTCCAGGCAAGCTGGGGGGCTTACAAAGCCGTTGGCTGAGCGGGTTTTGAAATGTGAGTCTAGGCCTAGCCCACACATACGACTGCAGCATCCTTGCAGTTCACTGTTTGTCAGCCCTTTGAGATTCTTGGATTAGAACGCACTAGAGAAGGTAAAGCTGCGGTTAAAAAGCCAGAACAGCAGTTTATAGAGACATAAAAGTAGTTCCAAAGAACAGAAGAGTAAGCACCA